GGGCAGTACGGCGCGCCGCTCGGGCTCAGCGAGGCGCAGAAGCGGGTGCTGGACCTGGAGAAGAGCCTGCAGTTCCTGCAGCAGCAGCACTCGGAGACGCTGGTCAAGCTCCACGAGGAGATCGAGCACCTGAAGCGGGAGAACAAGGGTGAGTCCGGGCTGCGGGCCGGGGCCTTCGGCACCGAGAAGCGCACGCAGGCCGAGGAAGACGCAGACCCTGAAGCCCCACCCCCCCGCCCCAGGCCCAAACCCTGGTCGTCGTGGGCGATCTGCCCATCTGGCAGGGGCCGGTGTGGCCACAATATTACTGACCCTGGCCCAGATAACCCGGCCCGCCTCTCCTCTCGAGGTAGAGTCAGGCTTGCCTCGTTTTAAAAATGTGTAGAAGTGAAACATACCCCTAAAGTTCGCTTAGTGAATTTTCACAACCTAAGCACACCCAGATCAGGGGCCCCAGAAGGATTCCTGACACCTTGGGCCCTGTGCACACGCGACTTCTCAGGGCAGGGTCTTCCTAACCTCACACCCCTGGGGGCTCCTCACTCCATGGGCCAGGCCCAAAGCAGACGTACAGGCCTTCCTGGATGGGACTCTGCCCCTCCGCCCACATTTCTAGTCCTGCCTTGGTCAACGTTCCCCTGGCTTCTCCTTGGGCCTTTCCCTGGGGTGCCAAGTCCACCACCGAGTATCCATTAAGTCAGGACTCTCCCCTCCCCGCCGTCTTCTTCTTAAGAAAGAAATGGATAATTTTATTCAAGACACATTTGAGGATTATAAGCCGGGAAGAGCACCTCAGAAAGCTCTGAGAACTGTCCTCCCTTGTCTTGTTGACTGTCATCCCAGTTCCTCCCTGATGCCCAGGCTGGATGTGGCCGGCCCCTGTCCAGGGCATCACTTGATGGTTGCACATTTGCTCATCCCGAGCTAGGGGCCCCTGGAGGGCTGGGCCGTCCTGATTCGCTCCTGTTCCCCCAGCGCCTGAGCCCTGCTTGGCAGAGGGTGCCCTGTAGACGTCATGATGGAGGGGTGGGCTTGGGGGCAAGTGCTCACGCAGGATCTCTGGCTCAGGGAATAGCCAGAGGCATTCCTGACCTTGGGGCCCTGGGGCAAAGGCTCAGCCCATGGGGCAGAGTCTCTTAGGGGCTCAACAGGGACAGCGGTCAGGGCAAGCCAAGCCTCTTCTCTCAAAGTGGCCGTGGCTTCGGAGATGACAAGGAGAGCCTGTGCTTGTTTTCAGATCTCCACTATAAGCTAATCATGAATCAGAAGCCGCAGAAGAAAGGTAAGACTGAGGCTCACAGGAGCCTGGGGGAAAGTTACTGCCTTCAAGAGCAGCCCTCCAGACTGCCTGGGCCCACGCGAGCTATCCTGGAGGGGGGTGGGCTAGGCACAGACTCACTGCTGCCAGCTGTGGTCTGGGTGATGTCATGCACCCAGGCATGGCAGGTCCCCCCTTGGGGTGCCCAAAGCCTGAGGTCTGTGTGGCAGGGGCAGAGCGGCTGGGAGTAGGGGGTGCTACCCAGGACCCACCACCTGTCCTGGCCTCACTCTCCTGAGATTGCTGCTGTGGCTGGCCCCAGCCCCGTACCTCTGGTCCGTCATGCCCTGGGCACACTCCTTCCTGGACCCTCCCTGTCACCTCTGCAGTGACATGGGGGCACATCCTCATCTGTGGCCCACCCACCTTGCCTGTCCCCCCGCCCAGCCCAGGGACACCCAGGCCGAATCTTGGGCTCCCTCTCTGCCCTTACCTTTGGAGCCAGGTCTGACACTGGGAGGTGGTCTGAGTGGTCAGTGGTGCCAGCCTGGAATGCCCCAGTCTGGGGTGTGCCCAGGGCTCTTCCTGGGAGACACAGAGGGAATGGGGTGGTGGGGGCCTTTCTCTGGTGGGGCGGCACAGCTAGCAGTCCCAGTCCTGTAGTGTGAGGGTCCCCTATGCACCCATTCAGGGCCCGCTGCTTCTTGCATCCCAAGCCCCATGGGCCTCCACTCCCTCCAGCACTGGCAGGGTTCAGGGCTGCCTCATCGGACTGTGGGGGAGGGCTGGGTCCTGGCCAGGCCAGGAGGTGGGCACAGGTGGGCCTGGCCCTTTGCTCACAGCACTGAGGAAGCTAGGACAGGAGTCTTGCTGCTGCCACCTCGGGCTGACCCCTGTGTGTCCCCCACAGGCAGCATCTCCAGTTCCAGCTTTCAGTGCAACAAGTCCATCTCAAACACGACGGTGTCAGGTGAGCGTGCCAGCACCTTTGCACTCAGAGTCAGGGAAAACCAAGTACCCACCGGCGCCCCCAGGCCTGAAATGGCCAGAGCGGGGCACTGACCAGGAAGCTGAAAGGGCACAGCAGTTCTCTTTGGGGCAGACCGTGGAGGAGCACCTCTGCCAGGCCCTGTGGACTCTGGGGTTAAGGAGTAGCTGAAGGACCAAGGAGGGTCCCCAGGTGCCTTGTGAGTTGAAACCTCCAAGAGGGAGCTGAGGCTGGGGACAGTCAGGCCCACTGACAGGAGACCTGAGTGGTCCTGCTGCTCGCGTGTCCCCCAGAGCCAGCAGGACGCGAGTGGCTTGGCCCTGCCCGCAGAGCCTGGACTTACAGCATCTTTGCACTGAGGGCCGTCGAGGGCCTCCCTTCTACTCTGCCTCTGGGACATGGGGCTTCCTTTCCAGGAAGGGCCTTCCCTTTTGTAAGAGGGACCCACGTGGCGAGGGGCCTTGTCCTTGGAAAGCAGACCTGAAAATGGGGTTCAGAATCAGGGAACAGTGGCTGGCCACCCTGCCCTGGCCTCTACTGAGGTCTGCGAGGAGACCGCCCAGTGAGATGTGTGGGGCTGTCCCCACCCACAGTAGCTGCTTCTGACCAGTGGGCAGGGTCCCCAAGGGCTTGGCCCCCATTCCCTCATCTGTGCCTCTGGGAGGGGTCTGTTACCATCTCTGCTTTACAGAGAGGAAACCAAAGCAGGGGCGGGAACCCTTGGGCGCCCAGTGACTGACCCCATCTGGGTCTGACTCGCAGCCAACTCTCAGAGCAAGGCCAGGCCCCAGCCCAGCTTCTCCAAGAAGCAAGACTCGAAAGCTGACATGCCCCAGAAGTTGGACCTGGAGGAGGAGCTGTCGGTTGCTGCCCTGCTTCACAGCAGCAAGCTGGACAAAGCCCTCGGGGTGCAGGGACTGGCCAAGTAAGGCTCCCAGCACTCCACGGGACACCCTGGAACCAGCCCATTGTATTGCCCTCCCAATGGGCAGGTCTCCAGCGTGAAGCAAGCTGTGAAAGCATACTCTGGGCTCCCCCATCTGGTGGGCACTGAAGTCTCTGCTGCCCAGGGGGTCCTGCAGGGTCCCTGCACTGACCTGAGCCCACCAGAGGGCAGCAGCCCTTAAACCATTTTCTCAAAGAACAGAAACAAAGTATCTTGGCCTCCAAATCAGCTTGCTTTTCACCAAGAGAACCCTGAATCCAGCGCCCTGTCCCATCCCGTGAACTGTGCTGGGTGCGCTACAGGAGGGCACGGGGCCTGCAGACCAGAGCAGGACCAGGCTCCAGTGATGCTCAAGTTCCTGAGACTTGCTGGAAAGAGCAGTGAGCCTGGACTTCACATTCGAGGAGGGGACTCTGTTGTCCCCTGGGTAGGGTGACCAGCAGGCCAGGCTCCTGCTTCTCAGCCTTTTAAATCCCACCCCCCACAACCACCGCCCCTCCAGGTCTGGGGTCCGGATCCAGGGAACCAGGCAGCTTGAACCACACCTGACTCTTCGGTGTACCTAGAGGGGAGGGACGTGCCCGGGTCACAGCTACCCCAGAGCGCCCCACCTGCTACCTGGAGCATCCTGGTCAGCAGGAGGGAGCCAGGCCCCCAGGAGGCTGGGTGCTGCCCTGAGAGGCGGTGTGGCCAGACCCTCCTGGCCAGCCACCTCTGGGCTGCAGTAATGCCTGTTTCAGAGACGAAGAAGTGGAGATTTCTAATCCAGGGGCCACCTTGGCGGCAGGCAGTCAGCACAGGGGCAAGCAGGTACCAGGAGCCCCACCCTCCACGAGCCTGCCCCCACACCTGCGCAAGCCCGCCACGCTGCAGCAGTGCGAAGTGGTCATCCGCCAGCTGTGGAACGCCAACCTGCTGCAGGCCCAAGAGGTGAGGCTTGGCCTGCAAGGTGCCCTGGCCCCTCTGCAGCCCCGCCCACCTGGCCTCTCCTCCCTACCTTTCAGCTGCAGCACCTGAAGGCCCTCCTGGAAGGGAGCCAGGGGCCCAAGGCGGCCCCCGAGGAGGCTGGACTGAGTTCTTCCAAGTAAGTGCCCCATGTGGCCCGTCCTGTCGCCACAGGGCCGACCCGTCTGGGGGTCACTGGGACTCTTCCTTCCCCAGGGACCAGGAGGCCCTGCACCCAGGGACCACGCAGCTCCCCAGGGTCTCCACCAAGGGCATCTCCAAGAAATGGTGAGTTCCACTGGCAGAGGAGGTGGGCAGACCGAGCCCAGTGCCTGTGGGGATGGAGGGGCCTCACCTGACTCACCCTCTGCCCCCAGCCTGCTCCTGAGCCCGGTGCCTGTGGCAGAGTGTGCCATCTTGCCTGCGCTCAAGCAGAGCCTGAGGAGTAACTTTGCTGAGCGGCAGAGGAGGCTGCAGGTGGTGCAGAGCCGGCGCCTGCACCGCTCTGTGCTCTGAGCACCCGGTGCCTGTGCGTTGGGCTGGGGCCAGGCCCGCACCGGCAGCTGCAGATGCTCACCCTCTAGTTAGCACGTTAGCAGGATTCTAGTACGTTCATTCCAGATACACAAACTTGTGGCAGATAAAGCACTTGGTCTCAGAATTGAGGAATGGTTTATTTTCTTGCCCAGTATTTTGCTATTCTGCATTTACACAAACTCATTATTTTAAAGTAAGTGTGACCCTACCTGTTGAAGACGGGAAATAAAGCTCGTTTCTCTCAATCGTGTCTCTCCCCTCACTGGCTATGCAGCCCTGTGTGCCCCCAGCTCCGCTCCCTGCAGTGAGAGGGGCCTGCCAGGCGGCCCCCTTGCTCATCCAGGGCACAGCCCACACAGCATCCTAGACACAGGGGTGACACACCATCCTGCTTCTACGGACAAACACAGCTGGTAAGCGGCCCTACCCAACCTGCCTTCCTCTGTGAAGGGCCAGGGCCATGGCCACGGGGGGATCGGTGGGTCCAGGACGCTAGGGCGCCACCCCGTGATGGGTGCACACCACCCCCCTCAATTGTCAGAACAGCTGCTTCGGTGCTGACCCTTGCCCAGCAGGACAGTCTTCCCGGCCCCACCAGCCACATCCTCGGTGCTGATCTCACATTGTCCCGCTTTGGGGAGCAGGGAGCCTGGGGGTGAACCAAGATGAGGAATGTCTGGGCCTCCATGGCCGTCTCCAAGGTTCAGTGCAGCTGAGCCCTGACAGGGCCCAGCATTGGACAGAAAGGGCCTCTGACTTGCGGGTATGCGGACACAGTGATGAATCCAAGACAAGACACGGGAAGAATAAATTTATTGTAAGAACCACAGACAACACAATAACACACATAGAAAGGGGGAACTCACTGCCAGGAGCCCTCACTCTCTGCAGGCGGAGGACGACATACCGCCCTGAGCACGGGCCCCAGCGCTTCACCAGTGGGCCTGGGGCCAGACACAGGACCCACCCTGCTCCCCGGGCATCCCCACAGAGCTGAATGGCCCCGTGGGGTATGAGGCCCAACCACTGGCTGGGGACTCACAGCCCAGCCCGACCTCCCCTCCAGCAGATTCTGGAGCTGCCCTGTGGTGTGCCCCACATGCCGACGGTGGCACGGACTGAACCCAAAACTCATCAGAGGATCCTGTGTGTGTTTTAAGGATTTCCTATGTTTGGCGTGTTCCCCCACAGAAACGTAGAAGGGTTTTCTGGTGCACACAGAGGCTCCAACAAGACCTCAGTCTCCACTCTGTGCTGCTGAGGGGGGACACGGGCCCTGCAGAGGCCACGGGGACAGCAGGCCGAGGAGCACAGGGCCTGGGCCATGTCCGACTCCTGGGGGCCCCGCCCCACACCTCCACAATCACCCGCCTGTCCTGTTCTGTCCAAGTGTGGGAAATGCCCGGCAGGTCCCCAAGGCAGAAGATAAAAGCAGGAAAGCTAACCTAAGCCCAGGCTCTCTAAGGAAGCCAGTATCTAGAAACGTCCGACACGTGGCCCTGACAAGGCTGCCGGCCGCCCTGATGTCCCTGGTGGGTGGGTGGGTGGGCAGCCCGAGATGCGGCAGTGGTGGTGGCTAGGCAGCTGAGAGGCAGGCCTGGTGGATACTCTGGGCCCAGGTGTTGAGCAGGGCCGTAACCGAGTGCTTGTCAGGGAGCTGCAGCAGCCTGGAGGTCATGCACCGGTGCACCGACTGCAGGAAGGGGTTGGCGTCTGCAACAGAGCAGGGGCTGTGAGCACTGTGCTCCCTGCCAGGACCCTGGCCTGCCCCCAGCCCTGGGGACCAGGGACACCATCTCCCAGATGCCGTGGGGTGGTGGCTGGCTTCCCCACAAGACTGCACACCAACAGAGAATGGAACTATGAATGGTCTGGAGCCCAGGGCTTTCCCTTTGGGACAGCCTAGGGGTCCCTGCCCTGGTTCTCCACATGCCAGCTAAGCCTCAGGGGGACTGCCCCCATCAACAGGGCTCTCTCTGGGCCTTGGGGCTATGTCACACATCTGGGCCCCAACGTCAGCTTTGCAGAGGCCCAGAGGGACCGCTGGGCCTGCTCAACACCCACCCACTGGACACAGCTGCCCCAGAACTGCAGGACAACAGGCAACGGGACACCACAGGGGCAGAGACCCTGCTCTCTCAACTGTAGGGCGACTGCTCCTGTCCATCACGGAGGAGCCAGGATGGGCCTCAGCAGAGCTGGGGCTCAGGGAGGGAAGCCTGGAGCCGCCTGCCCTGGCCCCACCGCTGCCACCTTGGCTCACTCACCATACTGCCACTGTCGGTCAACCCAAAGTGGGCTCTGGGCGGGGTAGTCAGCAGGCACACTGAGCTCCAGCGGCGGCACGCTGGGGAGGTCCTTGTCATCTGCAACACAGGAAGTCACACCTGTGACCCGGCCTGCCTCACCTCACAGTCCTGCTCCCGACCAGCACCCCTAATGCCCTGGTAGATTCTAGGGAGGCTGCAAAGCTGAAGTCCCTGACTCGAGGCTTCCAGGTTACCCCAGAGCCTCTCAGGCCAGCAGAACCACCACTGCACGAGTGGAAGAGGTAAGAATGTGGGGGCTCAGGGCCCAGCCCTCAGTGCAGGTGGGCCAGGTAGGTGGGGACCAAGGAGGACAGTGGGCAGGCTCTGGAGGGCCTGGTGTTGGGGTGTGAGCAAGTGGCCCCCCGCCCAGCACTCACCCAGCTTGCATATCAGGTGGACGGTGCCGTTGTTACTGCAGTGAGAAGGGTCCAAGTTCACCAGGAACCTGGGGTCTAGCCTGGCCACCTCCCCCTGGAGCACATTGGGGATGCTCTGCCGCTCGTCCTCCTCAAACCTCCGCTTCCGGGAGCACGTCGCCGGGGCCCTGGAGGAGGTAGCCCTGGTGACCGCACCGGGCCAGGCTGCGGCCCAGGACTTGCTGCCTGCCACCCACCGTGAGCCAAGCCCCGGGCTGTACGCACGTGATGGGCGGGCCGTGGATGGCCGTCATGGCTGGCACAAACGTGCGGTACAGGGAATGGTTGAAGACGGGCGAGCGGATGTTGGCCAGGACAGCGTCCAGGAGTGGCTGGCACAGGTACTGCTGCTTGGTCGGCGGCACCGGGGGCGGAGGGGGCGTGGGCTAGGACAGGACAGTGGGGTCAGCAGCCTGCTCCGGGGGGGTGCTTTGCAGACCCCAAGGTGCTCATCCTCAGGCATGACCAGACTCCCTGTGCTCCCCCCACCTCCACCACCCCCTGCAAGGACGGCCCATCATGTTCACCCTCCCCTGGTCCCAGCCCCGGGGCTCGCTCTCTCTTGTGCGTGAGAACCTATGCTCTGTAGGGCCATAGCCAGAGGCCAATTTCTCCCCCATTCCTGCCCCACTGGACCTGGTAGAGGACTCTGGGGCAGGGCTCTCTGGCCCTCCTCTGACTGGAGGCTCCTCCAACCTCCTCAGAGACGCCTGTGGCCCTACAAGCACCACCAGGCTGCAGCACCCCACTCACCACTGCCATGTCATTCTTGAGCTTCTCCAGAGCGATCTCACACTTCTGCAGTGTTTTCAGGGGGCACCTATGGGTGAGAGGATGTGGCTGACCCTCTGCATGGGAGGACAGGGGAGCCGGCAGCTCTCACGTTCTCATTCCAATCACTGATCATCTGGCCTCCTCTGGATGGATTGAGCCAGGGGCCTTGGACATAGGAGCCCTCCTCAGGAACCCCAGCCACTCCACCTGCTGTTCCTAAACCCAGAGTCTAAGGCAAGGGGCCCAGGCCCCTGTCCCCCAACCCCATGACCCCAGTGAGGGCCTGGCCAGCTGTCCAGTTCCAACAGGCCCATTCCTCAGTATCCAGCATTCTACCCAGATAAGTAGAACAGGGAAGATGTTCCAGAGAGGGGGCCTGGCCTGAGCCAAGGCCGAGGGAGTAACCCAAAGGCCAGTCCACGTGCAGGCAGTGGCGCTGGCCGAGGGAAGGGACATGTGTGTGCCCACTGTTTTCCAAGTGCTTCTCAAGACCCCATCTCGGTTCACCCACAGCCAGTGTGAGCTGCAGTGTCCTTTTGCAGATGGGGCAACAGAAGCAGCCCAAGACCACCAGCAAGTCCAAGACAGGGCTGATGGTCAGACTGAGGCCCGTCAAGGTCAGCGGCGGCCTGGAGCTAGGCAGAGGTGAGGTGCTGGCAAAGGCAGGGGCTGGGCGCTTAGAGCCCCAGGACCCCCTCTCCAAACTCACTGTCACCCAGCATGTGCCCTAGGCTGGGCCGACCAAGCAACCGGGGACCCTCTGTGAGCGGCAGGTGCCCCATCCTCCCCATGGCCCTGGGGAAGAGCTCACCTCTTGGATGGGTCTGTCAGGATGTCCAGAAGGCTCTTCATCTTACTCAGGTCCTTCTTCCTGTCTGGAACGGAAGGGGGCACTGAGACCTGGCCTGGCGCCCACCAGTCCCCCACCGCCGCACCGGCCTTACCTTCGTTCTTGTCGATCTTGTTGATCATGCGGCGCAGCGGCTCGATGTACTTGGAGAGCTGCCGCAGCTTGTCCAGGTACTGCTGCTCCTCCGCCTGGCTGGGGCCCGCGGGGCTCATGACAGCGCTGGGGTTCACTGCAGGGCACGGCCCGTGAGCGCGGCCCAGACCGCCAGCCCTTGCCTCGAGGGCCGTACCCGGCCCAGGCCTGACTTACCAGGGGTGTTCAAAGGTCCCGGGGAGGGGACGCTGAAGTTCTGCGGGGTGCGCGCCGTCACTGGGCTCTGGGAGGGCTGCGGCGAGGGGCTGGGCAGGAAGCTGCTGGGGGATGGGGCGGGGCCGGAGCTGCGGTGGGCAAAGAAAGGAAGTGCTGTGAGCTGGGGCATCGGGCAGGCACTGCGCACCAGCAGGCGTCCGGGAGCCAGGTGAGGAGGGGCACAAGGCAGGCCTACCTGACATTGGAGTTGGGCTGCGAGCTGGGCGGGCCGGGCTGCGGGGATGGGTTGTGGGGGAGGGGGCATCGACTGCGGGGTCTGCACCTGCTGGCCCGGCGATGGCG